TGATGCTTTTATGGGTTTAATGTTAGGTTGGCAGTATATAGAGGGGTCCTGTATTGGGATTTGACTGTAATTTGTTTCTGTTCCGTGTTTTCAGAGAGAGCCGTCTGTTCTGGTGATGTTCTACGCTCCTTGGTGTGGTCACTGTAAGAAGATGAAACCGGAATATGAGAAAGCTGCTGCCGTTCTGAAAACTGAGAAAGTGAGTTTCGTTTCAGATAACCCAAGGATTCAGCACGCCCTTTTAAAAATTTCTTCCGCAATATCATCTTTTTAGTTTATAATTTACATCCATTCTCTTGCATAAAATCACTTTGAAGGTTTCTTAATATTCTAGAGCTGTTTGCCGTGAAATATGTGTAGCGTATACTGTCTAAACCAGTGGACGGAGTGTGGTTGGAAATTTCTTTCACTGTGTTTGTAATGGAAATCTAAAAATTACTGCTCAGTAAAATGTTTGCTTATTGCTATCATACTCAATGAATGAGAGTTCAAAGTACATCACAGTTTCGAGGTGTCCTTTTACCTAGAAATTGTTGGATCACATTTGGTTTTTTATATATTTTTCTTTATTAAATGGTATTAGAAAATCCTATCCTATCTTTAACTTAAATATTAGTGGAAAACCTTGTCTTATATAGTTCAGGTACACATTCGTTCACTCGCCTGTTCTTTATCTAAAGGCCTGTTTTGTCTCCAGGTTTCCAATTTAATTTCACACCACATACAAGCACCTAAAATTTTGTATTCAGTCATTACTAGATAGACTGTAAACTTATAACAATTTCAGGTGAGATTTTTATGTGACGAACTGAATTATTCCCTTGTGAGTCTTATTGTTCTGAGAGATATTTGATGTTATATGCAGTGTGTCCCAAAATTTTCCGGACTGATTTAATTACCCACGAAAGGCTGTCTCCATCTGTTGTGTTTGTTCCTGAGGGCACAACTGTCAATGGAAACTATTACTTGGAAGTTTTGAAGAGTTTAATGGTAAGAATTCGAAGAGTTCGCAAACAGTATCAAGAACAAGGCCCTGATGACGGAGGCAGTATGACCTCTGAAACGTTGATTAACATCGACCAGACTACACAGCGCAACAACCCAGAAGACAGAAATCAAGAACAAGGCAGTTGGTCGCTCTTGCCCCGGCTCACAAAGCCATTGTCGTTCTCAAGTTTTTGGCATCCAAAGGTGTCATGGTTCTTAAACCCCCCCTTACTCACCTGATTTGTCACCTTGTGACTATATTTTGTTCCCTATACAAAAATTGAAAATGAAAGGCACACGTTTTGACGACATTGAAGACATTCAAAAAGCTTTGACTGACTTCCTGGAGGCTATCCCTAAGAATGACTTTCAGCAATGCTTTGAAAAGTTTTATGATCATTATAATAAATGTATTTCAAATAATATTCAATAAAAGACTTAATTACTTGAAGATAAGTGGTTTTTAATCCAGTTCGGAAAATTTTGGGACACGCTGTATATATTTAGTTGCATTTACTTAAAATACATAACAAAAAACTATCAGGAGAATTTGAATATGTGCTTAATCTATTAAGAATAGTCTCCGTAATGTTGTATGATAGCTGATGCTAGAGTAAAGGATTCTTGCTTATGGTTCAAGTAGCCTTGATTCTTCTTTTACAGATCACAGGCATTACAGCTGCTATAGATGCGACTAAGGAACCAGCAGTTGCAGCAAGATACAATGTACAAGGCTACCCCACTGTTAAGTACTTTAAGGCAGGACAGTTTGCATTTGACGTAAATGTGCGAGATGCATCAAAGATAACAGAATTTATGCGCAATCCTCGCGAACCTCCTCCTCCTCCCGCACCTGAAACAGCGTGGAGTGAAGAGCCATCAGAAGTCGTCCATTTAACAGCGGAGACATTCAAGACATTCTTAAAAAAGAAGAAACATGTCCTTGTCATGTTCTATGCTCCCTGTAAGTATTCAAAGGAAATTTGCTGTTCATCAGAATTGCAGTCACAGGGCATGAGGGAGTGGAGCGAGGCATGGAATATTGCTGTGTGCATTCCTCAGCCTGCCCTGCCAACTTTCTCATAAATTTGTTCTAGCTTTCTGCACATGTCAGTCCTTGTACTACTGCTTCTCTTCGCTCATCAAAAATTGCTTCCAAACCGCTCAGGTTGAATTTTTATCGGTGGCTACGAAAGTAATAGTTAAATGCTGTAATTTATTTAAATTTAATTCCAAATAGAATCTCTCAGAAAATAAACTAAAGGTTGTTATATTATTCTGTGCCAAATAAAGAGAATTATTTATAATTCTTCAATTTTAAGAACTTACTATCATTTTTAGTACATACTTTTGATCTGCAACATGTCGAGAGAATGGAAGTGGCCTTTGTGCCAACGTCAGTGATTACGGTGGTGTCTCTGGCCTTGCACGGAAATTCTATCAGGCAGTAATGTTAAAATCTGTCCAGTTCGCTGCAAGTCTGTAGTCACCTGGCTTTGAATTTAAGTGGTAACCAGAATGGTTCAAACAATTTAATCAGCTGTTGCGACACATTCCTTATAGTCATGCACGTGTGCAATGCAATTAATCTAAAATAATGAATGTACTCTCAGTCCTTTTGTCAGACTTTATACTCGCATTAAATACAACGAGAATGCCGAAAGTGTTAAATGGGAGCTAATCCTCCTGTAACTGTTATCTAGTATAATAGCAAAAAGGCCAAAGTCCTGTATATTTTCAAAAAAAAAATACTTTTTTCATGTGCGTGTTCCTGCAGGGTGTGGACATTGCAAAAAGGCAAAACCAGAATTCACAGCTGCAGCTGAACACTTCAAAGATGACCCTAAAGTGAAGTTTGCTGCTGTGGATTGCACGAAATTTTCAAGCATATGCGGAGCTGTGGATGTAAAGGGATACCCCACAATCAAATACTTTCACTATCACAACAAAGAAACCAAAAGCTATAATGGAGGCCGCATGGCAAGTACAACTTCATAAATTAAATTCACATGTCGTTATGTAATACTATATTCATATTTATTTCATTGTATTTCATTTTGTAAATATGAAGCTTGCTGCTTTATGTTAATTTTGTTATGTTGTTAACCTGGGTTCTGTAGCATTAGCTTATATTGTAGTGTCATGTGAAATATTTAAAAAGAATTATTATGTATTATTTGTCAAGGTTTACACGTTCAATTGCACTCTCTCACTCGCACTTCCAATTGAAACTTGTTTCGGTCATGTACGCCCAACGTCAGGTCATGAGTCTTCTCTGCAGTTTGCATCACTGTAGCGTTTCTCAGTTGGAATACCAGGTTCTTATGCCAGTGATTCATCATTAATTTAAAATATGATTTGGATCATAAAACTTGAAATAATTTAGCCATCAAGTAGTACAGTATTACTTGAGACGTCAGGTAACAAAAAACATTTAAAAAAATCATACCAATATGAGAATTTGCTCATTTGATATGACCAACATATATATCAACACCCCAACCAATACCAGAACTAAAATTGTCCGAAATATCCTTAAAAAAGAAGAAACACCAACAAAAATTATATAAAAAGTAACAATATTAATTAACATGAAAATGTGTTCTCTCAGGAAGTGGACTTTGTGAATTTCATGAAGAACCCACTTAGTCCAGTTTCAGAGGCCTTCACAGCACACGAGAAGACTGACGGGGACGAATGGGGTAAATACGAGGGGGCAGAAAGTCTTGTCCATCTTTTGGATGATACCTTCGACGCTTTCATCAGCTCGGGAGACCCAGTATTAGTCATGTTCTATGCACCTTGTGAGTATCTGATTAAACGTACGAATTAAAGTGTGACATTTCTATAAATTCAGGAAGTTATATTGTTATTCTCGTGTAACCTCTTTCTTTCCTTCTATCTAGAAAATTAACGTTCTAGTTGGTAACATTATTTTTCCAGTTGCTTTGTATTGATGTGGAACTTGGTTTGACATTCTATAGGGAAAACAAATTAAGCTCTAAGGAGTCTTATTGTCATGCGTGTGTTCAGCTGGCTGTGATGACGTCACTAGAGGTCTCTGGTTCATTCTGACGGCAGGCCAAAGCAGGCTGACGGGGAGAGCTTTCATTCTGTCCTTTCAGAAACATGTTAAAAACTATTATGTCCTGAAATTAACTACATAAAGGGCACTATTATTATTTTTTTATTTAGTAGTTCTATCTTAAAGTTTTTTTAGATTTAGTTTCACTTTTTGTAACAGGCCAGCATAATTTTTTATTTGATGTTGTGTGATTATTGTATTAGCACAAGAGCTCTGTTTGTTACAGGGTGTGGTCACTGTAAGAGAATGAAGCCCTCATACAGTCTGGCAGCACTCCAGATGAAGCAGGAACATATCCGCGGTGTCCTTGCGACAGTGGATGCCACAGTAAACCCTAAATTGTCTAACAAATTCAACATCTTGGGATTCCCAACGTTAAAGTTCTTTAATAATGGGATATTTGTATCAGATTATGACAGAAAACGAACTGCGGAAGATATCAAGAACTTTATGAAGTTGCCGTCTCCAGTCATCGGCGATAAGGACGAACTTTGAAATAATCCTGCTCTCGTTGGTAACGCATTACTATTATTTTTACTACTGAAATAGTCATATGCTCATTGATAACCATCACTTCTGTCATTTCTTCTACATTTTATCACAGATTAAAAGTGTGCGCTAAGAAGAGGTGTTGAAAGGTTGCTTCCTGACCATCTGCAAACCAGTAGCGTATGTAGCTGCATTGTATCCTTCTGCAATTTTCAAAGTAAGAGAACGTTAAGTTTTCACAACAGAGAATCCTCCTTCCAGTTTGACGGCCTATGAACTTATGCAAACAGAAAAAAAAATATTTCCATTAATAAAGCTGATTGAAGTAAGAATTTTGTTTTGAGCTCTATTTCATTTCAACGCCATGATATAATGCTTTCTAATTAAGGTGTTAGCGATATAACATTGTACAGGTTGTTCCAAGAAACGTTTGCCAAAGTTCAGATGATTATTCTGTGGCTTATTTTAAGTGAAGAATATTTCTTTTCAGCTTGGGTCAAAATCTGTACAATAACGTAGTTACTATGAATGAAAAGCAACTCTGACACGAAGAAGAAATGAATCACCTGTGTAAGAATTGTATTCCACTCGTGGCTGACACACACGTGCTTAAGTGGCTTGCTGTTTTAAATGACCTTGTACATTGAGTGTGCACAAAAATGCATTTTAAAATAGCACATGTTGCTTTTTTATGCTTCCATGACAGTTCTGTATGAGAACAGTTCTGTAAATGATGTGTCAGAACGGTTCATTTCATGTCTGCAATTTTTTGCGTTACGCCAAGTCCTTTATATTTCCACACAAGTAGAAATCAGGCGGTGTCAAGTCTGGTGAATGGGGTGGCGAGGCATGCGTACCTCCAAGATGAATCCACTAATTTCCGTAGCACTTATTCAAGCACTGCGAGACTTGTTGACCAAAATGAGGTGAAGTGCCGTCATGTTTAAGCGTGACTTGTAGACGAAAATGAGGTGAAGTGCCGTCATGTTTAATCTGGCCTGGAGAGGAATGTCTTCCAATATAAGGGGTGGCTCATCCTGTAGGAAATGCAGGAAGTCTGATGTTAAATGTCCCACAATAACAAATGGCCCAGTTCGTTGGTCTTTAATAAGACCACATAAGTTATGTAAGATTTGAGGTTTCCACAGCGGTGAGTATGAAGATTTCTGTCTTCTGGGTTGTTGCGCTGTGTAGTCTGGTCGATGTTTACCAATGTTTCAGAGGTCATACTGCCTCCGTCATCAGGGCGATTAAAAATATGAAGATTTCTGTCTTCTGGGTTGTTGCCAACCCAGAAGACAGAAATCTTCACATAAGTGATGTTGGTGGGTCCTTCCAGTGGCATGGTGCACATTATTTGGGGACCGTACAGGGGTGTGCAGCATCAGGTTTCAAAGAGGATCCCCAGTGCTGACCTTTACCTCTTCACGGTATGGGGGAGGGAGAGTGCAGCGCCCATGTTGTTGTTTTATCCCCAGTGCTGTACACCATTGTGATGCAATCTGCCATGCCCTCTCCACTGTCCGTGTCTTCAGTAGGGTGCCACCACTGACCAAATGGTCAGAAAAATCACTTCTACTATCAAAATAGTCATAACTGCTTCATTGATAGATTATTGGGTTGTATATGCCAATTTACAGCATGGATTATAGTATGAGATATCAAGATTCCTACGGCACCTATCATTAGAAGCAAAGGCCCTAAAATTGATCCTGGGGAACTGCATATTTTATTGTTCCCCAATACGAGAAACAATTTTGAGTTTAATTTGATGATTTAATTTCAGTTTTTTTGCCTTTCAAATAGGACAATATGATCTGAACCAGTTTAAACTGTCTCTTGAATATCATAAAAATGTAAATTAGGTAACAAAAATTTTATGATTTACAGGCAGAAGCTTTTGCTAAAACACAAAATATTCCTCCAACATGAATTTTCAACAGGCAGAAGCTTTTGCTAAAACAAAATATTCCTCCAACATGAATTTTCAGTGAAATTGTTCTTGGTCCAAAGTTATTAATATGCATATGATGGCTTGATATACTGTACATAACTTTCTCAAGTACTTAAGAAAACAGTTAATAGTGAACCTTTCTCATGCAATGCCCTTAGTATTGAAATTTTATGATGGTCAGGGAAAATGCCTGTCTGGTGATTTATACTAGGGAATGGATTTCCAGGTTTGAAAAAAGTTCTTTGCAGCTGTCTAAGCTCATGAAAATCGATGCAGCGTTCAAGTTATTATGTAATTTTGTTACTTAAGGACACTTTTTCGCATTTTGATGTGAACAGATATTCTGTTATACATGAATAAAACTGAATAATATATGTCTTAAGGAACGGATAAATGAATATTTCACTCGACTGCACAGCCTGTTGTCTTTACGTCAAGCTAAGTTTCGCTTGTTGTCCAAACTTTTTTGTTTGGCAATTTATGTGCGAGTCGGACATAGTGACACTTGTAGACAGACTGGGAATCGCCCATTAGTGTTTTGTTTGGTTAATCAGAACTGCTGTTATTGGGTATTCATTATTAGCTGCTAGAGATCTTCATGAAGCTTGTTCACAGTACTGCAGTTTTATAACTGAACTGTGATGAGGTAATGGAGATTAGTTTACAAAGATGGGGAAATTTCATGCTAATTTTAGTTTTAGTGTATAACAAAGTTGGAAAAGGCCACAGAAAATAAGATAAATCAATGACATTAAAGATAAACTGAATACAACCAACCAATCAAAAGCTGATGCAGTAAAACAAACATTCTGCTAATGTTTTTGTAAGTATAAAGGGTTAAGTCATGTGCAAGATTGCATTGGTATTGGAGGGGGAAGACCCCCAATTAATTCTGAAGACCTGAGGGACTTGTTTGTTAGTGTCGTCATGTAATGCAAGAATGGTATCGTGAGAAGTGAAATTTAAATTTTTTAATACATATCGCTTTCATGATAACTGACACAACATAAAGATTACTTTCATGGTTCTCCACAGCTTTTCATTTGAGATATTGAGTACTTTTTGCGCAACATAAAGATTACTTTCATGGTTCATTTGAGATATTGAGTACTTTTTGCAATTATCAGTACATTTTAAGAACTATTTCCTACTTTTTATAGCAGTGTTTTTTTATACTTCGGAAGCACATAAATAATAAATATCTTCTAAATTTTTAGCGCCTAAAAATATGTTCCCTAGTGATTACAGATATACCTTAATGGGTTACCAGACTTGAACAGACTTTTGGGAATTTAATTGTTATTTCATCGTAACCTGGTGAGTTTTTTTAATTGAAGGAATGTGATATACTTTTGTATCAGCTTCAATGGTTAGATGAACCTGATAAAAGCAGAATTGCATCTTCTTTTCCCATTTGATGTATTTAAAATTTTAGCAACTATTAGAAAGAAAGTACAATTGGTTCAGCAACTTTTTCTGTTCCCTTTGCTTTTCTATTATTTATAAGAAGAGAGGACATCTGTTTGGTTAAATATATGTTTCCTGTCTCCTTTATATGCCATGTTCCATGTTGTTATATCATGTTTTGCTATAAATCTACTACATTGTTATTTTTAGCTTCTTTTATAACTTGATTAAGGATTTTACAATAAATAATTAAGAGTGCTTCTGTTATGGATCATTGCTGCTGCTGTAGATAAATTGCCTCCATTTATGTTTGCAAGATATTGTATTCTTTGTGTAATCTCGCCATTATTTATTTTGCTCATACCCTTATATTTAATCAGAAATATAGCTTCAAAGATATTCATAAAAATTATACAGAAATGAGTAAATATATTGTTGGTATCATTGTCTTCATAAACAGATTCTCAAATTTAATTTTCTAATAGGAGTTGACATTGCATGGCTGCTTTATGATTCTTTCTGATTCCAGTGTGGACTGCTGCACCGATAAATGGTCATGTACAATACACTTCACTCCATTATGATGCAGTCTAGTATAACATGAATCTACTTGGACCCCAAAATTTTATTCTGGCTTGGCAGTGGTGAGACACTTGTTTATGGACTGTGTCGACTTCAGTGATGTTCTGGGTTTTGATGCTGCGAAGGTTCATAAGTAGATACCAACTTTTGGAGAAACAGTCTCCTCCAATTCAGCCCAGAAGATGGAGACTATGATTTTCTGAGATGTTGGTATCTATACAAATCTACGCAGCACAAAAACCCAAAATTTGCAAATATCTTAAGTGCCACTAGAACCTCAACTCTCACATATTTGGACTTTATTTTAACAAGGCTTGAGAGTAATGAATCTTTGTTGTTCTCCAGTTCTTTTATCAGAAAAACTCAGGCTGCAAGTAACCTGCAGAGGATAAGTAAACATGACTGTGATTCCTATTCCAACTGATGATCTCTGGTAGTTTTGATTCATCTGGGACAAATCAGATTCAGGTTATGGACTAAATGACTGAGAATTCTTCTACAGAAGATTTTAATTCATCTTCAAAATGTGTTTTAGTACCCATTG